CGTTGCATTTGGCAAATTGCCTGAGCAGGCCTGACACCCCTCTTCTCCCGGTAACGACTCTTTTGACACCTAGGGCCTAGGCTAGGGTGGCCTAGCCTAGCCTAGGTCTAGATCCTAGCCAACAGCGAAACATCACTCAGTGTTTACTGGAAACTTTTAATTTTGTATACAGTATTTGGCTAAAGTTTTTTTTTCACATTTCCTTTTTCAAATATAAAACAAGGGAACATTGTTCTCTGGTAATAAAACCATGGTCGACTAACTCCCCTCTGTAGGCCTACGTGTGTGCTGCGTCGTCGTAGTCGCCTTAAAAAAACGAAAACAGCTCTTGGTCTACTACGCGAACAGTGTCTTGGCGTTGCCGTCACGCTCCATTAGTTCGTAGTAGACTGGCCGCGTAGTCAAAACGAAAAATGCCTATTTAATATTCTACTACGCGACTGCCCCCGACGCACACCATCGCGTCTGCGTTCAACTCACACAGACCCGACGCGACAACAAATCGCGTCGGGCTGCGTCGGCCGACGCTGTCTGAGTTGGCCTTAAGCCTTAAAAAATCTATTGTATAGTCAGTGTCTACGAATTAAACGAATTTGCTCATCTTCGGATGATTATGACAAACAAATTGGCATACTTACTAGCCATTTTCTTAATAATGATTATCCCCTTAAACTAATACTATCAGCTATTTCTAAAGCCTCAATCCGTCCCCGACAATCCCTTCTAGATTATAAACCCAAAGATATTACTAATAACCGCATTTCTCTCGTCTTTGACTACCATCCCAATATAAGTTCTCTTACCCGCCAACTTAAAACTGACTATAAAATTCTCAATAAAGATAAATCTATTTGCCACCTTTTTGAAGACCCTCCCCTACTAGCCAAAAGACAACCCCCTAATTTGAAATCTATTCTCTCATCCTCTAAACTTCTATAAGAATTCCCACTCTTCTGGTAACGTTAAATGTAGTAAGCCCAGATGTCAAGTTTGCAATTTCATGTGCACCTCTGACACATTCTCTATTCCTAGTACTAATATTACTATTAGACCCCCCTCCACTTACTTGTGATTCTTTTAACGTTATTTACATTTTATTTTGTAACAAATGTCAAATTGGTAATTACATTGGAGAGACTGGCACTAAATTCCGCCTCCGATTTAATAATCACTAAAAAACCATCAGAGACAACTCCACTGGTTTCCCAGTAGCCTGTCACTTCAATCTACCTAACCATAGCATTAATGACATAAGATTTATTTTGGTCGCTAATAGTGGATTCTTAGAACCAGTTCTTATATTAACGGTTTAAATAAAGACTTAGATTACTTATCAGACTATTCATTTATATATACTTAATTTTTTTTCTTGGTTTCTAGGCCTTTAACCAGCTTTTATCTACTTTGTTTATTCCATATTAAGTAGAACGTTTAGGATGCGCATCTTTTGTACGCGCCTTTATTCTTTACCGCTGATTCGATCAAGGTAATTCAACAAAAGGACGCACATCTCCGCTCTCGAACATAGCGCGTGCGTACAGTCCTTTGATCTTTACTGTGGCATCGATAAACCGATACTAGTTGCGAGTACAGCCGTCAATTATTAGTCTATGCGTGCCATTCGTTTTATGGTGTTAGTTTTTATTTTATAAATTTTGGGTACTTCGCAATGTCTGTTACATTTGATTTTTTTTT